CTTGATCTTTCAAGATGTATGATTCATAAATTACATATCACAGATTTGGGGTAGGACTGTAAGTAACAGAGAGTAGTGGCAGCTTCTACTGGCCTGTCCGCATCCATAATCATCCCCCATACCTAGCAGAGATAATGCTAAAGCTCGGGAAGCATGAGGAGATAAAATAATCTGATATTTGCTTGCTTTTATTTTTTAACTTAGTACTGGAGTGACTTGGACATTCATACCAGTTTTTCTAGTACTTTGTCCTGCTTTCCTGATATATCACAGAGGAAAGTTCTATAAATATTTCCCACTGCAAAAGGAAAAGAAACACACCGTAAAAGGCTGGTTTATGGAGTTTTATTTGATTTTTTTTCAATTTTTGAAGAATAAAAGCTTTAGGTTTCTGGTCTGCCTGAAAATTAAGCTTGACACCAGTTTATGAAAATGGTGATGAGTTTGTGCTACTGTATGCAAACTTTGTCCACACTAAGGCATTTGTGTTTCCAAATTCTCTTCTCCTTTCAGCTACTCTTAAAATTTTAGACTTTGGAATTTGATCTTAAAACACATATATCTCTTTAACCACAGATTTTGGCAGGGCTAGGTCCTAGGCCCGATATTGGACAGTGGATGTAACTGTTTGCTTTTACTATGGAGACTTCGTTCTTAGGCTCCTCCCACACACCCCAATTTCTAATTTGAAATCTGCTCTTTAAGACTTGCTGTTGTAAAAGAGGCTTTCTGTGGCAGAGTCCTTATGGGTTATTTTCTCTCTGGTCTTCTTATTTTTTTATTTTTATTTTATTTTTTAAAGATTTTATTTATTTATTCATGAGAGACACAGAGAGAGAGGCAGAGACACAGGCAGAGAGAGAAGCAGGCTCCCTGCAGGGAGCCTGATGTGGGACTTGATCCCACAACTCCAGGATCAGGGCCTGGGTCAAAGGCAGACACTCAACCGCTGAGCCACCCAGGCGTCCCTCTCTCTGGTCTTTTTATAAGTAGGAAACAAGATTTTTGTGTGTAACTCTAGAGTTTAAATGATGGATAGCCTCTTTACCTGAACAATCATGCATCCTGGTTATTAATATGAGGTCAAAAGCTGGGTCATTATTCCCACCATAACGGAGTTAATCACTTACCAGTAAAAGGGAGAGAGCATTCAGTATATCTGGAAGCTGTTTAATCATCAACCTTGAAGATGGCAAATACCTCTCTGAGTTTCTGAGAACATATATCCCACTGCTCGCCAAGGCCTTGTCACCAAGTTCATTAATTAATTTGTTTTTCCTTTACTGTGTTACTCTCATTTTTACAACCAGCTATCTACTGTGTTCAGCCACTGACCAAACCATTTCCAGAGTCACTGCTAAGGTTACACCTAAAAATCATCACTGGTTTAGTTGAAGAACATTTTCTGTCTTCCTAGCAGGCAAACACAAGGCAAACATAGGTTTCCAAGGTATCTGCGTTGAGTACATCTGTTTCGTAATGTAATTTCATCGGTTGAGCAGATGAAGAATGCTAATTAGCTTGTTTATATATATGTGATTTAATGAGATTAAACACTTAGCTGATCTTAAACTAAGTACAAGTTGTTTCCCGTTGCTGTTTTTACTTAGTAAAAAACAGTGTTAGACACATTTTCTGGAAATTACAGTGCTGTGCAACCCAGAGAAGAGAGAATTTCAAGGTTGACTGGTCCGTTTTATCCTTCTGAGATTGCATAGGAGGCAGAGAATCAAAGTATTGGGTTTAGGGACAAGGGTTGAAATCCAACATTAATGAAAAGCCTAAAGTTAATGGGAGATGTTATCATAAACTGTATTATGTCAAACTCCGAAGTCCCAAAATAAAATTCTGATATGTACCAGAGTAATTTATTTCAGGGAGCAGTTCTATACCTTCATCAGATCCAATCTAGAATCTTCTTTTTTTTTTTTAATTTTTATTTATTTATGATAGTCACAGAGAGAGAGAGAGAGAGGCAGAGACACAGGCAGAGGGAGAAGCAGGCTCCATGCACCGGGAGCCCGATGTGGGATTTGATCCCGGGTCTCCAGGATCGCGCCCTGGGCCAAAGGCAGGCGCCAAACCGCTGCGCCACCCAGGGATCCCCAATCTAGAATCTTCTAATTTATTTTTTTGCTTTCCTTTTTTTTCGAATACTTTCTTCTTCTAGTTATTGTGGTCATATCTTGATATAATTGAAATCATGGCATTCAGTTATTATAGCTTTTTCTTCCTAAAAATTATGTACAATAATGGCATTATAATTTTTATGGTTATTTAATATTATCTACTATGCTGTCTTTTTTTTTTTTTTTTACTTTCAAGTTGAACAAAACAGATGCACAAAGGCTGCTATATTTTGAGGGTGGGGTGGGTAGAGGAGATGAGGAAGTAGCTCTGGTCCTATAAGCAGAATTATATTTGGCTTAAAATGCTTCAGTTAACCTGCTCAGCTTTCTATAACCAGAGGTCAGCAAGCTATGGCTTGATCCAAATGGATAGGGCCCATCTGAGGGCCAAGTCCACAGCCTGTTTTTGCAAATTCAGTTGTATTGGAACACATCCATACCATTCCTTCGTATATCAGCTGTGGTTGCTTTCATGCTGGAATGGCAGGCGTTAAGTCATTGATAGAAACCCACAAAACTGAAATTATCTCTCTCCGGCCCTTTACAGAAAGGCCCACTGTCCACTGATCTAAAGCATGTATGAGGACAGGAGTTAGTGCATAGTAATAGCTACATTCGGATGTAGTAAAGAATGAGAAACATATATTTTCTCAGAATTGAATCTTTTTTTTTTAAAGATTTTATTTATTTATTCATGAGAGACACACAGAGAGAGAGAGAGAGAGAGGCAGAGACACAGGCAGAGGGAGAAGCAGGCTCCATGCAGGGAGCCCGACATGGGACTTGATCCCGGGACTCCAGGATCACGCCCTGGGCTGAAGGCAGGCGCTCACCGCTGAGCCAACCAGGGATCCCCCCCACCCCAGAATTGAATCTTAAAGGTGGTTGAGAGCCTTGGATTTTTAGGTCTTTCAGACTCCAAGTAACCATTTTCTCTATCACCAGATTACTTTGGGTCACTCAGTAGCCTGCTGAGAGAGCTCCCTATTCTATTCTGGCAGAAAGTGTTTTCTGTTCGTGAGTAGATAGGCTCTTCCTTGTATCTTCTTGAAGATTCATAAATTACATATGATCACAGATTTGGGGTAGGGCTTTCACAGAGAGTACTGGCAGCTTCTACTGGCCTGTCAGCATCCATAATCTTTCCCCCATACCTAATAACCGACGACACGCCCAAGGGCCATCAGATGACAAATGTAGCTTCCTTATTTGTCCCAGTTCAGCAAATGAATTGTCCATTGTCCTAAACTTATTAGAGAACTTATCTGTGACAAATTACAAGCTGTTACTTACACACATTAAGAACATATTAAGAGTATTGAGGCACACAGAAAAGGAATAATTGATCTCCAGTTCTAAAGACTGAAATACAAGGCTTTATCCTGGATGATTCAACTGCTACCAGCCTGTGAGCAGGAGAATTATGTTCTTGTTTGTTTTTTAATATAAACATGTAAACCATATCTTTAAATGAATCCTAGTTTATGACCTAAGCCTGATTACGTAGAAACTGGTCTAGGAGTTTGGGTTCATAGAAAATACATTGGCCCTGGTGTGACATGGACCTAGATTTGAAGCCTAGCTGTCACTTTCTGGCATGTCAAATGAAAGAAAATAACCTCAACTGTTGAGCCTCTGGCGCCGTGAGAATAACAATAATGTGTCATATGGTTTGTGTGAGGCTTAACTGTAAACACAGACTCCCCAGCACCTTACATCATAGGAAGTAAGTAACCTTGGGCTCCTTTTGCACTCCTTTTCACTGTGTGTGTGTGTGTGTTTCAAAGAATGGAAGCAGTTGGTGAACCCAGTTAATCAAGACCATTAGTATGGCTGACAAGCTGGATTCCTAACCAGACGGTTTCAGTGACAGATAACTAATTACCTGGTTGCGGATTGTGTGTGGAGATTCACAGTCACAACATCAATACAAACAAAATTACAAGGGAAACATGCTGGAATAGCCGCACATATGTTTTCAGTGGGCCTCTGGGAGAGAGACTTCATCTAGCCTCAGATCCAGAGACCCCTGCAAATCCAATGGCATGATATTAGGGATCAGTTCTTTGAAAAAATATTATTTGTTTTTCATTTTGATGATATTTCAAAATTCCTTTGCTATTTATAGAAACAAGCATCTTCTTTTGAATTAACATTTCAATTAATCTTTTTTCATCTAAAATTCAGCATTTCAGATCCATAAACATATACTTGAGCATCACTACATATATATTTTTTTCCATATTGGGAGACACTGGTTTCTGCTCTCCTGATTTTTTGGAAAGGGGAGCATAATGAGAATATAGTAGGACTAGCACTAAGACATAGATTTATACTTGGCTTTTATTTTTTTTAAAGATTTTTTATTTTATTTATTCATAGAGACACAGAAAGAGAGAGGCAGAGACACAGGCAGAGGGAGAAGCTCCATGCAGGGAGCCTGATGTGGGACTCGATCCCGGGTCTCCAGGATCACTCCCCGAGCTGCAGGCGGCACTAAACCGCTGTGCCACTGGGGCTGCCCTATACTTGGCTCTTATCATAAAACCATAAAGTTTCACTCTTTTGGAATCAAACTAGACCAAGTGGGCTATAAAAATGGAAATCAGTAGTTTGTGGTAGGGACATGTGGAATACAGCTCTGTTCCATTTGAAAAATACTAAAACCAAGTATTTTACTAGTATACACACATTAAAGATCTTTACCAAATATTTCATCCATTCTGTAACTGACATGTCCACCAGAATTTTCTGTCTACTTGGAAATGATATATGAATATGAGGTCTTTGCCTTTTGACACCTGTCTTTTTCTGTTTTCGTAAGTACACAAAATCACTTCTCTTTCTGTTCTGACTTCCTACTACCCATAGACACTCCAGTCACCTGTATTCTTGATCTGCTAGTGGCTTCCGTTTGTCACTCCGCATAAGAAGAACAGCTTTCAAAAAAAAGAAAAAAAGAAAAAAAAAAAAAGAACAGCTTTCCGGAGGTGATCCACAGCAGGGTGAGAGGCCACTAACACCATGTTCTGCACGAAGCTGAAGGATCTCAAGATCACAGGGGAGTGCCCTTTGTCCTTACTGGCACCTGGGCAGGTTCCCAAAGAGCCAGGAGAAGAGGTAGCGGGAACCTCAGAAAGTGGCAAAGCAACTCTGCCCATCTGTCAGGATGTCCCTGAGAAGAATGTACAAAGAAGTCTTCCTCAAAGAAAGACCAGTAGGAGCCGAGTCTATCTTCACACTTTAGCAGAGAGTATTTGCAAACTGATTTTTCCTGAGGTGAGTGCTTGCCCTTTTGAGATTTTACTGATATTTTGAAAATTGTAAACGAGTATTTTTAAAGGAAAATGTAAACGCGTGCTTTCTCACTTTCAAGGCTATAATAGATGTAGACTGTTTCCTGGAAACATATAAACACACTCCTTGAAAATGATCATGTTCTTAAATTGTGTTTAATCTTAAAACGTTTAAGATCTTGAATTCTTTTAAAGGGTCCTGCACTCTGATGAACTTTATGACTTTGAGCAACTGCTTAGCCCCTCTTATCCTCAACTTCCTTATTGTAAAATGGTAGTAATAACGGTACCTACTCCCTAGAGTTTTAATGAGCATGGTCTGAAATAATCCATGGCCCTTGCCATCCCTTAAGTGCCTTAGGTAGTTGTTAGCTATTATCTTAAAATTAAATTCCTTGAAGAATGACTTCTTTTCTATCCATTTTCTTCTAATTCCAAAGAGCGTTATACGTTCCCTGCCCATTTGTGGAGGTGGGAAAATCTCCGTTTCCACCTCCGGCTCTGTGTCTGAAGTCTCTGCACAAGCCAGGCTTGACCTGCTTCCTTGAGTCAAGGTCATGGCCCAGTGCTTGCAAATTAGCTCCGGACACTTCTTCTTCTTCATTTTTTTTAAAGATTTTATTTATTTATTCATGAGAGACAGAGAGAGGCAAAGACTTAGGCAGAGGAAGAAGCAGGCTCCCTGCTGGGAGCCTGATGTCAGACTCGATCCCAGGACCCCGGGTTCACAACCTAAGCCAAAGGCAGACACTCAACCACTTAGCCACCCAGGTGCCCCTAGCTTGGGCACTTCTTGATACAGCTCTGTGAACTGCCTAGCCTCCTGCCACTTCAAAATCTGGAGCACCTTCTGTTAATCCACCTATAAGACATCCCTGGGGACAGGACACGTCCCTAATGAGGTCACATATCTTAGGAATGCAGGGATATGTGGAGAGTTCCTCTCCTCCTGCAGGGCTAAAGAGAAGAGCAACTGAAAAGTCTTCATGATGTCTTCCACCCTCTGGCAGTGTTCACAGTTTTATATGAACTCACTTAATCTGGGAGATTGCACATTGATCTAATCCGACTCCAGCTATAATAATCCACTGAAAATTTTCTGTTAACCCAACACCACCCCTTTGCTTTGTGTGGAGCGCTGAAGAACCACAGGCTACTGAGTTTTGAAACTTAAAGGAACTTCAGAGGTCATCTTGTTTCATTCCCAGGAAGGACCTGGGAGGTTAAACGACTTGACTTTTACAGTCGCACAGCTTTCGAAGGGAAGAGCAAGTACTGCTGTCAACAGAATGACTAGAGCGACTGAGAAAGAAGAGACTAGCATTGAATCTTGAAGATGGAGAAATTAGAATCAGCAGAAAGTTGGAGGAACTTACTTCAAATACAGTATTAGCACAATAGTACTTTGGTTAATGGTCTTTGAAATGGAAATATTTCCTTATTCACACCCCACCCAAGTTACTAGACAGCCAGCTTTGGCTAGGATGAGCGATGTCATCCTTCTCAGGGAGTTGGTTGGCATCATCGTCTGGGAAGTGGTTGGGACTCTCATTTCCAAGAACAGAGTGAGATGCACAGAGATGAACAGATGGTGAGGATGGGGAGGCTGGAGAGCTTCCATATTTTCCCTGGGTCCTGTCATTACCATGTTGGCTTCATTATTTTGTTTGATAAATTTTGAATTCCTGCCATTGAAGTCAGACACATGTTGGAATCTCTTTTTAAAACATTCTGAATACCAACTCTAAATGACATTTTACCTTTTCTCTGGTTCTTTATTTAGAATAATCTGTGTTGTTTGTGAACTCACAGGAATAACCATCAAAATTTGACTACAGCGTCACGTAGCAGGGAAGGCAAAGCTATAGGACCTCTAGGGATAAAAGGTAGAACTCTGACAACTGAGGCCATTTGCCTCATAACAGTAAATGTCCCACTACCAGATGTTTTTGGACTGTATGGTATTCAGTGTAGATTATTTAATCAACTGTCCAAACATCAGCGTGTCTTTGATTAAATACAGCTTTTTTTTAATTGATTCTTTTTTATGTAGACAGATTTAATGCTTAGCCCACTGTTTAGTTTTAATCCTATCAGCAACCTAAAGGAGAGGCTCAAAACAGCATTTGACAACATTATAGTTCTTGTTTTAGATAATTAAATTTAACTATGCAATCGTGGTATTTTGGGTTTGTTTGTTTTTTTTCTGGCAGAGGAGGGGATAAATATCCTTAGCAGATTTAGAATAGGGAGCTGTCATTCCAGAGTAGCAGAATAGAAGGGCCTGAAAAGGTGTAATGTTATTGCTCATCCGATGCAAACTTTTCATTTCTGTTTTTTTTTCCAATAAATTCTAGATTTTTCCCCCTGAGCTCTATATGCACTTTAAAACTGAAAGTCCTTCCCATAACTCATTTTATTAAAACAGAAGCTTGTTCTATTTTGCTTAACTCTGCTGCCTCACTTGACCAGTGGAAACTGTAAGAGGGATATAAATAGTTGTTAGGGAAAAAGGAATTTCCCAACTTGGAGCATAACCAGAAAATTCTTCCCTTCCCCTGGACAAACTACAGAAAGAATCAACAATTACATAAATACACGTATAGATACATATGGTTTTTATATGGAATGCAAAGCACTGCTAACCAACGCTCTACATCCTACTTACCAACTAGAGAAAACAAGCGATTAAGAGAGATTAATAGATAGTCAAGTATTTCTGAAGCATCAAGGATTACATACAAATAACTTAGAATGTGGAAAAACTCATGAAATACTCAGAAATCAATAGAAGAGAGTAAAAGTGTAAGGATTTGATGAAAACAATTGGTTTAAAGAAAGGAAGTTAGTACAAGTTAAGGTAAATGCAAGATTTGTTTGAAATCAGTGATCAACTGACATTGGTGAAAGCTTGGATTTAAGGGATTAGGGAAAAGGGAAAGACAGATAGCTCCAGACTTTTCTAGGCCAGGACATGTAAATGAAATATGAAACATAAATCCGCATTTGTAGTTGAGAAAGTCAGTGGGGGGCTGGGTGTGAGAACAGGAATTTGCTTGGCTTGAGCCCCGCTCACACTGAAGTATTGGCAACACATCCAAGAGGATTTCCTGACCCAGAGGAAGTGGTGCCCACCATTCCTTCGTGGAAGACCTGGCACTACCAAACTGGAGTCTTCTATTTGGATCCCAACTCAGCTTGTTTTGTGGCTGTCAGCGAGACCACCCACAAAGGGCAAAAAGCCTGTGAGCCACAGCCCACATCCAAACTCAAATTAGCCAAAGCTCATTGTTTCTTCCCAGATTGGAGAAACGTCTAGAAAATCAGTCTCCGTTTCCGAAGCATAAATTCACCACGCTCACCAGTAAAGTAATCATGTTTCTGCTTGATAGAAAGTTTCAGGACAAATTTTAAAAGTATGTATCTTCAAATGAATTATGATTTAAGGGAACGTTTAAAACATTTCTTTTCATTTTTTAGTTGGAGCGGCTGAACCTTGCACTTCAGAGAACATTGGCAAAACACAAAATAAAAGAAAGCAGGTAAATTGAACCACTTTAGTTGTGTGAACCTCCCATTACACTTACTGACACCCCTGCAAATAGCCACCACTTAGTGACTGCATCGACATGTTTCGAATCACTGTGGTATGCGAGAAACTGGACTGAGTGCTTTAACTGCTACTAATCTGAAAGTAGGTGCATTTATTTTTCACATTGAATACATCACTAAGCCCAGGTTCATGTAAAATATTTAGGATTTGACAGCTGTTTATGCAAAGACACAACTGAGTTGCAAGCCTGGGTTTCTCGGAGCCCATGATTTTAACCATGTCACCATGTACTGCTGCTTTTAACAAGCCATCAGGCCTAGTCTTTCCAACTAAGAGGTACTGTCAATACTTAACAGGTAAGGCAGGGACCCCAGATGATAGGCACAGGCTCCCTGCCTACAGGATACTTCCTAAAGTGGAGCAGGGTCCCAGTGCCCACCCCTACCCCCACCTCCCACAGCTTAAACTTCCAGTTGCTGCGACGGGAGGAAATTGAAGAATCAAAGTTGGGGGGTGGCTAAAAGGGAGGGGTTGACTCAGAAACCTTGAGGCAACAGCTGTTTATCAATCCCAAGGGAAGTGTTTCCGTATTTTCATAACCAGTTTGGTTATATTTGTGGGCACTAGCTGAGTATCAGTTCCAGTTAGACTTTTATTCTTGCACCCTGTCTTTTGAACATTTTTTAAAGAAAGCTTTCTGCAAACGGTTAATATAGAAGTTTTTGTTTAAAAATCTGCTTTATATAGTTTTTCAAATATATCTTGGCACATTTACTGCTGGCAGATAATGTGATTGGCCTTGGTTTTGATTCCTTGAAGTTGCAAGGATTATTTCATGTGTAAATAGTAGGATAAATACCTGTGTTCAAATTTACAGAAATGAACATTGCAGCTTTGCAAACCAGTACCATTGTGGGAATATTTTATAAATCCATTCATCAGTCTATTTCTCATGAGCTGATTATCTGTCCTTAATTTTCCCGGTTGACTAACTGGTCCCAGACTCCAGGCAGCAGGCAAGCCAAGAAGGGGTCAGCAGGGATCCAGAAGGAGAAAGTGTGAATCTATGCGTCTGACAGAAGCTTTATTTACATGAGTGATACAGAAAGCATTCCAGAATGCCTCTGACCTTAATTCTCAGCGAAGCTGATAAGATAGCCACAAGTCACCCTAGCTATGCTACTGTGTCTGTCTGCTTAAGTCCCTGGCAGCCAGTTGGCTCCAAATTTATTCTCAGGGCTTTGTGTTCTGAAATGTTCCTAAACTAGTTGCACGGGTTCAGTTAGGATGTATTCCCAGTGGGGTATCTCTTTAAAAATACCTCAAACTAAAAAAATAAAAAATAAAAAATAAATCATTTTATTTGGAAATCTGAAACTTTTTTTTTTACCACTTCCTTGATTTCTTAAAGAGCTGATCATACTTTTAAATTGTCTTAATGATAATTATTCAGTTGTTGAAATAAGATGACAAACCTTCTTCTCATGACTGCCTGCTGATATGCTAAATGGCTTCCCTCTGCTTTGCTTTTTTAGTTTCTTGGATATAATTTTTTTGTTTCCTTTTTTCCCCATCTCATTTTGGAAGGTCAGCTGCCATTTCTACGGCTCTCAGCTTACCAACCACTGACCATAACTCTTTTTTTTTGGACTGTTTATTATCTTATATTTGAGAAGCAAAAAATCCATGTATTAAAACAATAAACTGTCCTTAACTGAAGACTGGAGCCCCTTGCTCCCCACCTTTTAAGTCAATGAATTTTAATGCAGCCATTGTGATATCTCTCTGGGTTGGCTTCACAGAGAGCTTTTGCTTTGTTTCTTTTCCTGGGATCTTTGGATCACATCATCATATTTGTGCATGGCTGATGTGTGTGTGTACAAGCACACACACATTTGCTGGCATATATGCAAGCTTAGTCCTTTTTTAAAAAAAAAGATAAAGATAGGAGACTTATTTTTAATTGTATTATGTGCTTTTTGTTATTTTTTCTTTTTAAAATAACATCTTTAATTAAAGTTTTTGCAAAGGTAAAATATTAAACTTAAAATGGGTCTTAGTACATCAAAATACTAAACTCTCTAATTGTATTCCAAGATGGTCTTTAAAACATAATATCCTGTATATCACAGAAGAGCAACCTTGATCTGCAATTGTACAGAATGAATTTTACAAACATAATAAATATATTTACACCCTTACACATAACAGTATGTACAACAGCAGTTGACAGTAGTAGTATTATGTGCTGTTTGGATGAAGTTTTGTTCACATCTCATATCATGGGTGCAAAAAATTGGCAGAACTGGGTTCTCTGAGCAGGAATTCTCTCATTCTTTAGGGGAAAAAAAAGAAAATAAAACAGAAATTGCTTATAAATTAAGCAAATCTGAAGATGATTAATATAAAGTAATATATAACAAGAGGTATGGGGATATCTAGATTCAAATTCGATATAAAATTATGTAGTGATCCTCAACCAATTTAGATAAGAAAGTATTTCTACGTAGCATTTTGTACAATTATAAGCAGCATGCCTTTATGTGATAAAATAGTGGACTGAGCAGTTTTCCTTCTTAAAAATACTTAATTTGAAACTTCTCTATATGTATTGTGTTTTACTGAAATTTGTTTAAAATTTAGATTTTTGCCTTTTTGTAAAATTGGTTTATCTAATGGCAAACTGACCTACAAATAGAAGCTTAGGTGTGTTTTCACGTGGATTAGTGATTTGGCCAGTTTGGTCATAAGAAGTCGTCACTATCCGAAACCATCAAAAAACAATTAAGCAAATGTAAATCAATAAATGAGTCATCCAGTCGAAATTACTAAGACTTTTCATTAATCAAAATGTATGCTATTATATTATCAACTTCTGTAAAAACCAATGCAGTGTGATTGAATAAATAATAGATTTCTTTAGTTACTAATTTTTATAAACATAGTTCAATGTAATAGTGCCTGAAAGTTAAATATATAGAGCCTTAAACTCAGAAGCAAGATATACTACATATGTGCTTTAGGAAAGAAGATAATGAAACTTAAAAAGTGAAATCCATCAGTATGTAAAATTTTCTTCTTGATTGTGTTATTTATCAGAAAAATCCGGGGCAGATTTCTTCCCATCCCCCTACTTGGCCATTTCATACTTCTGGTTCTCTGCCAGTGTAAACCTCTATATTACTAGCCTAGGAAAAGTTAACTGAAAAGGTAAATATGCTTCAAAAAATGATGAAACACTCCAAATCAGGTATGTTTTGAGGTTTTCCAACATTGTTTTGGGTTGCATGTGTCCTTGTTCCTCTCCTGTAAACTTGATAAATCAAGGTTTGCCCCCACAGAAAAGGTAGGTCAAATTATTTTGTCATCATGTCTATATGTTCTGATCTGAAGTTGTAGCATTCATTTGTCAGTTTATAATTTAAGATGTTGACATGTTTTCAGGAAATCTTTGGAAAGAGAAGACTTGGAAAAAATAATTACAGACCAAGCAATTGCAGCAGGTAATAGAATTCTTTTAAGAATATCTAATTAGGGAGTAATTATATTTACAGAACTAATATTTTACCTGTAAACTGATACTTTCTACTAATAGAAAAGTAAAAATTAATTTTCTACTAATAGAACAGTAAATATTTTCTACTAATAGAAAATAGCAGAACTAATAGAACTAATATTTTCAGTAGAACTAATCTTTTCTCCTAAAATATTCATATTTATTTTTTGGTGACTTCCAGTGTGAAGTATTCAGCATTATGTATTGTGTTAACATAAAGAATAATTCTTTTCATGCTGTGTATTTTTGTTTGACCGAAAACATTTCCTCTTCTTTATAATGTTTATTTGCTGACACATAGATAAGGCTGCATGGGAAGCTGACTCATAGACATTTACATGCTTTGGTCTTGAACGTAACTAATTATTCCTCATTTATGCATGAAAAATTTTATTCAACAATGTAAAATAAATAATTTTTTTAAAGATTGGTAACAATCCTGGGAAAAAGGACTAACAGTGTTCTCATATTACTAATTTGAGAGAGGCAAGTGGATGGGTAACTTTGTCGTACTATCCTTTTCAAAGTTGGAGGACATGGCCCAATGGGTTAAATCTTTCTAAAAGTGCACAATATTAAGAATTTTTTTTTCAATATTAAGAATTTAATGATGATGATGATGGCGATGGCTGACATGCTGAGCCTTTCCTTGGAGCCAGGCACTGTTCTAAATATAGCCTCTACACATCACCACAGTGCTATGAAAAGGGCACTGTTGTTTTTCCAAATTACAGATGAGGATAAAAGAAATGATACACAGAATTTAAAGAATAAAGGAGATTAGGGAAGGAGAAGTTACAGGAAGTAAATATATTCCAAACAAATATTCATTTAGGTAACATTAAACAACAAGAATGCTGTGTTGCTTTAAAAAAATTAAAAATCGCTTTATACCAACTCTAGAGAAAAATGACAAAATGGAGTTTAATGACCAGTGACTTTAAATTCATCCCTGTCTGATATTCCTACTGATGGAGGACCTCCAAGTGAGACAGAACTCCTTTATCAAGATGTACTGGTTTGTCATTAGCAGAATGATGGGAGAGCTTTTTTTTCTGAAATTAACTTGATTCTGTAATACTGATTGTTCTTTTGTAAGAAGAATCTCCTAAGGAAGATTAAAAATTGTGTGCTATGCTTAATGTATCATTCTTTCGTGATTAAGTGATTGGGAATTTTTATTTGGGGTTACGAGAATTGTATGAACTAGTCTGTGTAGATAATTTGAACGTAGATGGTCTGTTGTAGTTGGAACTCTTGTCACCAGACGTAAAGGGAACTAAATCATCAACTCAGTGTTAAAAATAGTAGTAACAGTACAGCCCTCCAGAACGATGTATTTGATAATGCGGAAAATGTATTATTTGCTTTCAGGAGTTCCAGTGGAAATCGTCAAAGAATCTCTCGGTGAAGAACTTTTTAAAATATGTTATGAGGAAGATGAACACATCTTGGGTGTGGTTGGAGGAACCCTCAAAGATTTTTTAAATAGCTTCAGCACCCTTTTGAAACAGAGCAGCCACTGCCAAGAAGCAGAAAAGAGAGGCCGGTTTGAAGATGCTTCCATTCTGTGCCTGGATAAAGATCATGATTTCTTAAATGTTTACTATTTTTTCCCTAAGAGAATCACGTCCCTGATTCTTCCCGGCATCATTAAGGCAGCTGCTCACATGTTGTACGAAACCGAAGTGGAAGTGTCACTACTGCCCCCCTGCTTCCGAAATGATTGCAGCGAGTTCGTCAATCAACCCTATTTGTTGTACTCCCTTCATGTCAAAAGCACCAAACCATCCCTGTCCCCAGGCAAACCCCAGTCCTCGCTGGTGATTCCGGCTTCCCTCTTCTGTAAGACTTTTCCTTTTCATTTCATGTTTGACAAAGACATGACGATTCTGCAGTTTGGCAATGGCATTCGAAGGCTGATGAACAGGAGAGACTTTCAAGGAAAGCCTCATTTTGAAGAGTACTTTGAAGTTCTGACTCCGAAGATCAACCAAACGTTTAGTGGAATCATGACTATGCTGAACATGCAGTTTGTTGTCCGAGTGAGGAGATGGGACAACTCTGTGAAGAAATCTTCCAGGGTAAGGAAAATGTCATGGCACTTTGAACAGGAAATAAATCATTTCTTGGTTAAGTATAGAAATGAAAAGGTAAAAATACATGCATCTCTTGAGACCTTTTGATAAAACATGTTTAAAACAACTCTGGCATCATTTTAAGGCGAAAATCAATTAAAAGCAAATTCCTTTCTGCATTCATTTGCTTGCTTACTTGATTCATTACTTCCCAAATATTTACCGAATGCGATCTACCTTTTAACATTCTTTCAGAGCATTTTTATAAATGGAATTAGGTAAATATTTATATAAAAATATGTTTTCGGTCATCATCAAATAGCTGGCAGTTGGGAGTAACAAGAGGCATTATCTTGCAACAAACATACAAAAACTACTTGTTTCTTATAGGAGACCACTAGATGGATTTTTAAATCAATATATTTAGTAGACATGGAAAATCAGTAACTTTTTTAACTGTTAGAGAATGTTGGGGAGAGGGGTTGTTCTCATGGTAGAGAATCTGGGTAATCGTTTAGTCCAAGGAAAGAGTTTGCAAAATCATAGTTGATGGTATGAGTAAAGCTAACATTGAAGCTTATGATGCATATAACTTTGGAACATGCATGATTCCAGGAGATTTGCAGGTTGTTCCCACAATGAAAACAGTTTTACCACTTTTTATCATAAAAGCAGTGGAGCTAACGGTTCAAAATAGGTAATATGGAAAGATGTTCATTACAGCCAAAAAAATAAAAAACAGTGAGATACATTTTTCTGTGTGAAACAAAACAAAATGCTACTTGCAACTCCCTTTTTTTCACTAAACAACACGTTTTGGGCATTCTTGCAAGTCATGAGTTATAGGTTGATTTCCCTTTTACAATGACTGCATAGAATGCTAATGTTTGGTTGTCCTCTATTTCGCCAGTCCCCTGTTGAAGGACATTTGGGTTGATTTCTACTCTTTGCTGCAGGGAACACACGTACACATGTTTGCTCACACTCGTTCAGTAAAGCAGGATGATCACCTACCGCCTCACGTCTCTTGAGGCATCCTTGGCAGGATCCTTTACGCTGCCTGCTACTATTCAAAGAATACAATAGCAGAAGCATCAGCGTTCCCCTTAGTGAGAAAGCCTTGAAGCAAGGATTTTTTGCATTGTTTACTGAAAATCGTGATCTCTGTGTAGAGTTACTCCTATCTATCCGCTCTTCAAACGTCCACGTGCATCTTAGAATGCACAAGGAATTCAAACCACAAGAAAGCGTCCTCTTCCTTTTCAGCAAGTAGGAAAAAAATAGAGTTTAAATACAAAGGGATTGTCACTGTCTGCCTTTCTGTTTGTCTCAAAAAGGTATCGGAAACTTACAGTTGATTTGCCTTTGCTTCACAGGTCATGGACCTCAAAGGCCAAATGATCTACATTGTTGAATCCAGCGCAATCTTGTTCTTGGGGTCACCCTGCGTGGACAGATTAGAAGATTTTACGGGACGAGGGCTCTACCTCTCAGATATCCCGATTCACAATGCACTGAGGGATGTAGTCTTGATAGGGGAACAGGCCAGAGCGCAAGATGGCCTGAAGAAGAGGCTGGGCAAGCTGAAGGCCACCCTTGAGCAAGCCCACCAAGCCCTGGAAGAGGAGAAGAAGAAGACGGTGGATCTCCTGTGCTCCATATTTCCCTCCGAGGTTGCCCAGCAGCTGTGGCAAGGGCAGGTTGTGCAAGCCAAGAAGTTCAGTAATGTCACCATGCTTTTCTCAGATATCGTGGGGTTCACTGCCATCTGCTCGCAGTGCTCGCCGCTGCAGGTCATCACCATGCTCAATGCACTCTACACTCGCTTTGACCAGCAGTGTGGGGAGCTGGATGTCTACAAGGTAGGGGAGAGGAGAGCAAGGCCCATTTTACAGGCAAAAGTTGCTGGGAAAAAGCATCATCACTAGGACCTGAGTTACAATGCCGAAGAAAGGCTTTCTCTGCAAGCCGCATCCTGGGAGCAGGCATTGTGCATTAATCATGTGGGTGTTCTCTAGCCAGAAATAGCTCTGAATCTGCTCAGAAAGAGAGATAATCATTCTATGAGAGGACTGCCCCATTGTCTTCTCAAAGAATAAGCCTATAATGCGGGGATGCTAGCCTGAGTGGAGGATAGGGTGTAGGACCCATTAACGGGTTCAATTTAAAAGTCAGTGAACAGGACCCTTGGCTGTGGCAACCGAGTTGAATTATTAATCATGAGATAATTTTAAGTATGACCTGCATGGGGTAAAGTTATCCTTTGTAAAAGTAAAAGTACAGAAGAAACATGGTGTTATACAAACTGTCTTCAAATAGGTTAACTCAATACAGAGGTAACGTGATACTTTGCATGCTGATTAAGAGGAAAAAAACACTGACTTAAGGCGGTATTGAAGAAAGGCCAAGGACAGAGACATCTGTGCAAAGAGAGACCTGTCTTCAAATCTTGTTCTCTACTTGGCTTTGGAAGCTGAGAAAGTGAAATAGCCTTTCTCATTTCTAAAACAGAGAAAGTAATATCCACCTACAGAGTTTATATGCACGAATAACATACATTATGTCCCATAAGCTTCATGAACATGACTGTTCCAAAGATTATGGCAAATAATATCTGTTATTCAAGATACCGCAGGATTTATTGAGTGCCTACCATGTATCAAGCATCATTCCAGGCACAAGGAGGCACAGTAATTATCCCTAACATGTACTAGCCTTATTTTAATGTAATTTTATTAGCCATGAGAGAACGATGAGGTGGTTTTGTGTTCTGTGTTCCTAGAATTAAAACATTTTTTTTTTTTACTAACTTAAAGTCTTTTGCATTGTTTTAGCCATTGACATTAAGAATAGGGCACCCTTCTCATTTATGTGACTTGAATCACCTTTTAGTTTGCCATGTGCAATCTGGTATTTTAAAGTTTTCACTCAACATGAAATAAATACCTTATTGAGGAGGAAACAAATATTTTTTTATGGGAATACATAAGCTTCTGCTTTGTTCCAATCTATATTCTAGAAATAAAACCTTCCTCTAAAAAATTTCCAGCAGGAAATTCCAGACAGAGTCATAATTCCCTTGGGAAAAAAAAGAGGTCCATGTATACTTACTGATAAAATAATTGGCTTCAGTTAGGTTAAGCTTGATGGCCTCTTGTGGAATTTATTATATTTATTAGTAGATAGTTTCTATCTTGACACTGTCTCCTCTCCGAATTGTAAGAAGAAAGGCTCGCTCTCCCTTGCTGCTGCTGTCACTGCTAACAGGGGCAGTAGCCCTCTTCTACAAATTTCAACTTGTTGAAACTAAAACAATTCAGTTTTTCCAATCAAGTATTCAGAATCCGTGCTGTTTACCACGTGGATAGTAGCCAGAGAGCTCCATGGTTAATCCAACCACAACCCAAGCTAGCTAGTGAATCATCTGCTCTGTATTTCCACCTTCCCTTCCCTTCTGATTTTGCATGAAAATACCTGGAGACAAATCAGGAAGCTTCTTAACCATGAGATAAATGTAAGATATACGGATTGTGAAATCATAAGCTCGCCTGTGAGTGTGGTGGCTTCCAAGAAACAGTCTAGCTTTTTTGTTTTCCCCAGGACCAGTTTGTACCAGGACTTTATTTAACTTCATTTTCTTGTTGTCTTTAGTCTTTGCTTCATTTTTCAATTTATTCAGTATTCATTTTTTGATTGTTTTAGCAGATATTTACTGTCATCCAGGATTGGCCAGCATGAGTGAAAAGATCTCATGTCGGGGGAGAGAAGGGCGGGCTGACCAATGCCAGATTTCCATATGACATGGTGAATGCTCGATTCTGAACACATGCCCACGAGGTGCTATGACAGCATAGAGAATAGTCACCTAACACCAAGTAGGAGTGAGGCATCACTTCTGATTCAGTAACACTTATTGGGTACCTGAGACATGTTAGCCATTATTTTAGGTACTTCATATATCGCTGGGGAAAGTCATAGAGAGGCACTGCTGCCTGGTTCACTCCTTAGCAAATATTTTGGGCACTGGTAATTTAGGAGTTAATAAAACAGACAAACTGAGATGGCTCACATTTTACTGGGGGAAAAAGGGAAAATGAACAAATGAGCAAGTATATAGTATTCCAGTTGGTGTGATATTCCGGATAGAGCTAAACAGGAGAAGTGCAGAAGATAAGGAGTGATTGCTATTTATAGAGGACAGTTGCGGCAGGCATTTCTCATGTGGTGATGTTTTAGGAAAGGAGGGACATACCAAGTGGCTGTCTGTAGGAGATTGTTCCAGGCAATGGAATAGCAAAGTGGGAACATGTTTCGTATGTTTGAGGAATAATAGGAGGCCAGTGGCACTGGGACAAGGTGAGCAAGAGAGAGGATGAAGAAATAAAATCTGAGATTAGCAGAAAGGTCAGAATTTGAGGGGCATTGTAAGAGTTTCAGAATTTATTCTGAGGGAAATGGAGAATCACTGAAGGTTTGTCTCCCTTTCTTTTTTCCCTTCTCATCTCCATCCCTCCAGACTAATAGGTTTGGACAAGAGGAGTGATATGATTTAATAAGTTACAGTAAATATTTAGTGGAGAAGAGAAACGCAGTGGTTACGATTTGGTGGATGATTTGTGGATTGAAATTAACCAGTAGCTTTGTCATCAGCATCACAGACGGATAAAAATCCCCTGTTACAACATCAGTAATGACAATGATGACACTTGGAATTTATATAACAGCTTGATTTTCAATAGCCTTCCAATAGGACCATTGTTTGACATCTTCATTTCTGTCCTTTATTATTGATATTCATGTAGACCCACTTATAGTTCCTCTGACAATCCTCAAACCCTTTTGAAAAACTATGTCTTAGTTTTGTATCACACATTCTTAGTAAATTCGTATGACATTGATTGTCTAGTGACTGTTCAAAACACTGTATGCGGGCAGCCCGGGTGGCTCAGCGGTTTAGCGCCGCCTTCAGCCCAGGGTGTGATCCTGGAGACCCGGGATCGAGTCCCACGTCAGGCTCCCTGCATGGAGCCTGCTTCTCCCTCTGCCTGTGTCTCTGCCCTTCTCTCTCTCTGTCTCTCTCATGAATAAATAAATAAAATCTTAAAAAAACAAAACAAAAAACAAAACACTGTATGCTAAGAGGATATAACATCGGCAGGTGATTCCAAAAGCGTTAAGAAATTTGTTATAAACACAAAATATCATTTGCATTACATCATTTGCCTCTACAGAGCCATTTAGATGATGGGAGAAGGAAAAAAAAAAGGTAAAATGATGTGTTGAGTCAGCAGCAAGTCTGGGAGTAGAAGCCACTCCCCGATGTTGTGCTCACAGAACCACACTGCCCTCCAGAGCAGATGCCTGATGCAAGGCTCCCAAACTTTATGACTTTCCTAAAAGGGAAAGCCATTTCTGAGAGTATCTGATTGACTCTGATTTGCCACAGGGCCCAAACACTGAGACTTCTGCTATATGATGTGTACTATAATTTTTTCCAAACTTGTATTTGTAATATGGAAAATATCTATTATGTGTAGGTGGAGACCATTGGTGATGCATATTGTGTGGCTGGGGGATTGCACAAAGAAAGTGACACCCATGCCGTCCAGATAGCACTGATGGCCCTCAAGATGATGGAGCTCTCTGATGAAGTCATGTCTCCCCATGGAGAACCTATCAAGGTGAGGCAGACCGTGTATTGTCCAGCAAATGTCATGGGAAGAGAGTAAATGCTTATTAATTCGTTATCCAAAGAATAGAGCATCAGTCGGGGTTTAGTTGCGGAGAGCAAAATCTGTAAGTTACTGAGGCTGGGAGAAATTTTTGATAGAGTATCCAGTGGCTTACAGAATCACTGAGAGGACAAAAGAAGCCATCTATAAGTGAAACCTTCAAAGAAGGGCTCCACTGGGTGTTATGCTAAATGTTGGCAAATTGAACGCCAATTAAAAAAAGGGGGGGCTCCCAAAGCTCTTGAGAGCCATTGCTTTTTCCAAGATCAAGAAGCTGGTTCTGGAACTCTATCACCTCAGCTGCAGTCGGCAAACTTCTGTGTTCAGAAACCTGCTGCCTCTGTTATTGGCACTTCTTATAATTTGAATCAGGTTCGTGGAAATCCTGCATCGTGACCCTCACAAAATCAGGGACTGGAAACTTGGGCCCTCTGCTAAGCATGCCATAGGACACCCAAAGGCTTCCACAGTTGTGCTTGCACTTGGAAGCAGCAGAAGTGCGGTCCCGGCAAAAATCCCAGCTTCCAGATCGCTTGCGAGCGTATCTGATTCACCAAACCAAGAATGCATCTGGAAAATGCAAGCGAGTTTGGAAAATGTAATTTTTAGTTTTCCAACCCCTGCAGTGGATGTCATGACACTATAATGAAAATTGACTGCTAATCCAACCCAGCATTTTCCAAAGCACATAACACTCTAACATTTCTAGGTTATCTCAGAATAATGTCTTACTGCAGCCGAGAAGATAAAATTACCATGCCAGGCATTAGTTTCCTAGAATACAAGAAGATCACCTTGACTCGTCCTACACATAGTGAATCTGCTGCTTCATTTTTATAGGACATCCTCTATTGATGATTTTCAGAAAAGGGACTTTGAAGTCCTAGAGAATCCTATCTGGCATGCTCTAAAATCATAGAAAAAAAGAAAAAAATGTAAAATACAAAACTATACTACTCAGAAGTGTAGGCTTGGCTCTGTTCATAATGGAAGCCATATGTTGAGCCCAGTCTTTTCCTCCTTACCCTGCTACCCGATGGAATGGAATCAGAGTGAAAGAATAAAAATTATTCCCCCCCGCCAAACTCTACATGTTTTTCCAACATGCCATATGTATAAATCATCTACCACTGCTGATTTCCTTACTGACATCTACCCACTTCGGCTTAGAAAGGTGCAGGTGGAGTATTGATAGAAACCAGAGGCAGGGAGAGTAAGTGCAAAGTGAATTTGGAATCAGATTCCTGTTACTCAAAAATAAATAAATAAATAAATTTTTAAAAAAAGATTCCTATTATTCTCCTTCCTCTTCCCAAGATGTCTATGACGAGACATGTGCTGTGTCAAACGGGGTCCCCAAAGGGAAGACACCCCAGCAGGTTTCCACTCAGGACGCATTGTGCATCTTAAACTTTGGATCATTGTCTTGTGAAATGGAAATGAAATTTGTGAATTTGCATGTGAATTTGAAAAATTCCCTGAAAAGAAAGCTGTGGCTGTTCAGAGCGAAATTCAGAACCCGAGAAGGGGACGGAGGGAGGGAGAGCAGCATGGGAGGAACCAAGGGGCATTTTCATTGTCTGGGCTGTTTGGATTGAGTGATTAACTGATGATTGATCATGAAATAGAGAAAAGTTTTATGATAAGTTTATCATGGACAAAGCTAAAATAACTAAGTACAGAGAGAGAACCTGGTTTAACCAGAAGAGGGCCCAAAAGGAGCAGAAACTTTCTGATATAAATTATGTGCTAAACCTGTGTTTGATATTTAGACACAGAAGATAGCTTTTTGTTCATACTGATTGGTTGGTACATGGGCAAAACCGTATTGTCCTACAGAAGAAAATACCAGATGTAACAGGTATCTAAGCTTTGCTGATTAAAATGAAATTGTGACAAAGAAAGGACTCTAAAACTAATCCAATCCTGTGTTTTATAGATGAAGAAAGAACGAGAGGGACATAAAGAGACTCACAGAAAGTCAGACTGTCCATTGTTAGTAGAGTTTGGTTGGGGATGCAGGGCTCCTGGTTCTTACTCGCGTGTTTTTGTTTGTGCAGAATTCATGATTTGACATCTTACAAGCAAATGATTCCAGAACGTTGTTAGCAAATATTTAAAATTAGTTGTAAAACTAGGCAAAGCTAGAGTCTTCTGAATTGTGAATAACATTAAATCGTTGAGTACTTGGCCTTTGTTTAAAATGCATATATCTAATGCAACTTTTTTTTTTAATGGTCCACTGAACAGAGGACATGAAAAGAATGCACACGATGTCCGATCGTCATATAAAATATCCCCACTTTAACTTACTGTATTGTAGTGGAAATTTAAGAATTTGGGCATCCCATAAGAACAGCAAGAATTCAGACCTTTATAGAAGATGCCTGTTTAAAATATTGTTTTAATTGTTCTCCAAATCACTGACAATCTTCAGAATGCCCTTTTTTTTTTAATCCTCAGAATTCCTAAACTTTCACCCCAGCATATCAGAGGCCGCATCTAGATGTGGCCCAGCTCTGGTTTTTCCATACATCCAGGAGTGTTTAACAAAAGTATATTATGGGGATCCCTGGGTGGTCAAGCGGTTGAGCACCTGCCTTCCGCCCAGGACGTAATCCTGGGGTCCCAGGATCGAGTCCCACGTCAGGCTCCCTGCAGGAGCCTGCTTCTCCCTCTGCCTGTGTCTCTGCCTCTCTTTCTGTGTGTGTCTCTCATGAATAAATAAATAAAATCTTTACAAATTAAAAAAAAAGTGTATTACATAATGACAAAAGTCATCACGATGTAACTCCAAGCAGCTCCATCTCTGCTTCCTCTGTCACCGTCTGCTTAAACCTTACAACTCCTTTCTCCTTTCACGTTAGTCATTGAGCAGTGACCAAGTGTTTGCCGTAGATCTTTTTATTCTGTATATTCTAAGAACTGGCTTCTCTCGCCCCTGCCTGACAGTGCATTGGAAACCCCACCTGGGGGCCAGGAATTTCCATCTGTCTGTCTGACTTGATGGACAGAGCAGGTCCACGTCCACAGCCATCCACCCTTTGTCGTGTACCCCTGGTGACCGTGCGAGGTGTGCCCGGAAGGGGGTGCCCCGAAGGGGGCTGAAACAAAGATGCTCTGTGTTCCAGACCCAAGTGCATGCAGAGTGGAGAGGAGCTGAGGGGGGACTGATCTTGCATTAGGAATTTTCAGCCCGATGCGATGCGAGTGAAGGGAGGTTGGCAGGAGGTTTTGCAGAAGAGGGGAACAAAGGGTAAAAGCACTTAAAGGGCGTCTGTATAGTCCTGCTGAGCGGGAAGCCTTTTATCCCTGATGGGGACCTTGTGTCACCTTTGGCTTCCAGATGAGGATTGGACTGCATTCCGGGTCCGTGTTTGCTGGAGTCGTTGGCGTTAAAATGCCTCGCTACTGTCTTTTTGGAAACAATGTCACCTTGGCCAACAAATTCGAGTCCTGCAGCGTACCACGGAAGATTAACGTCAGCCCAACGACGTACAGGTACGGTTTGCACTGAATGCCTGAAATCTATTACTTTTGTTTATCTGTAGTTGGCATTTTCTCCCATGGATTTTTCCTCCCTAACAGTCTCTGGCTTAGATAACCCTACCAAGAAGAAAGCAAGAATTTCATGACCCTCGCCTTCTTAAACATGACTCTGCTTCATAAGAACAGCTCTCCGGGGACACTGGGGGCCCCGGCGTGATCCCTGACATGTCCTGTCTTCCCCCCCGCTGATTCTTGTCAAAGCACCTATAATGCTCTCCTGCTTCGATGGCTCTTCTGACAGCAGTACAGTCCAGGCACTAGTCACCCGGACTTGGTACGGTCCCCACGGGCTACAGGTCCCCAGGATGCCCTTACCTCAGATGCCAGACAGGAATACATTTGATCTCATTTTAAGAATCCAGTTATAATGGAAACTCTTGAATGACAAAAGGTTTTCCAGATATGTGGGGTAACTCACTTACCAAGCTAACTATCCCCAGCAGGTTATCTTGCCTATTCTCCGAGACCAGTGTTTTACAGCATCTTCTTTTCCCTTAAAGCTCCACAACCTCTCCTTTCCAGCCCTGAGTCTAAATTGATAACCTCACTTCATGTTTCACAGAAGAAGAATAAAAAAAAAAAAAAATGCAACCAGATAAGCACTACACCACCTTCCGGGGGCAGATCCCATCAGCCTAGCCACCCCAGGGCCCTTGTCTTAGGCACTTATTCCGTGGCAAAGCCCCAGATGCCCCGCTCCCCTTCCAGGCGATCCCTCCAGGTTTGCTCGGAGGGCTGCTGCTTCTTGCTTTCTCAAAAACTTGTTTCCTGAAAATTCTTGCTTGCTCTCTACGATTAATTTCTCTAGTGAAACGATTACTCCCATCAAAATACAGACATATCTTACTATCAAACCTCTTAAAATAGGATCGTCCTTGTTGCCAAGTGTATCTCAGCTACCCCCATGTTTCTGTTCCTTTTTCCAGCAAAACTCCTTGCAGGAGTTGCTTATGCTGACCATCTCTACCTTTTTTTTTTTTCTTTAACCTCCACTTGGCCATTTGACTCACACCGATCGACATGTGTCCTTTGCAGTCCACCGAAACGGTTCTTATTAGGCTCATCGGTGTCTCTTGCTAAACTCATGGGTCAGTTTTCTCATCTTCCTCAACATTTCGATGGCAGCTGAGTAGCCTGAGCACACCCTCCTTGGAGCATTTTATTCCTTAGACGTTTGTGACACCCCCCTAACCTGCTTTTCTCATTACCCCAGGGCTTCACCTTCTTAGTTCTTGTGTTGTTACTCTTTCCCTATCAAACTTTCCAAGTGCCCAGAGCTCTGTCCCTATGGTCTTCTGAGTCTGAACTCACTTTTTTTTTTTTTAATCTCTAGCCCATCCCACAATTCTCCTCTGAGCTAATGACCCATGTATCCTGTTCTGTATTTTTACTCAGATGACTAATTGACAAATTAAAATTAACGTGATCGTCTTAGAACAAGTGATTTCCCACATACGGCAGCTTGAGGAAATCCACTCCCCCCAAACCTAACTTCATCAATCTCCTTGAAATGGCACCACCGTCTACCGAGTGACTTAGACTGTAAACCTCAGAATGATCATTGCTTCTTTCTCCCTTCACAGCTTACCACATCCACCTACAAATTATATCCCGAATACATCTTTTTTTACTTCCTTCAGTGTTACACCCCAAGGCAAGCCTCCTACCTCTGTCCCACCTGAGCCAACCCAGGATCACCCTCACCCTTCTGCTTGCTGTCTTGTGCACCTCCTCCCCACAGTCCATCCACCACACACTAGCCAGATTGTCTCTCTAAAGTATGAATCCGGGGCTTCGGATGGCTCAGGTGGTTTAGCATCCGCCTTCAGCTCAGGTCATGATCCGAGGGTCCTGGGATGGAACCCATCAGGCTCCCTGCTCAATGGAGAACCTGCTTCTCCCTCTGCCTGTCACTTCCCCTGCTTTTCTCTCTCTCTCTCTCTCTCTCTCTCTCTCTCTCTCTCTGTCTGTCTCAAGTAAATAAGTAAAGTCTTTAAAAAAATAAAGTATGAATCTGATCTCATCACTCCTACATTAAAACCCCTCCAGTGGCTTCCCAATACAGCCAGAACAAAATTTAAATACGTTACCACAGACTAAAATGTCCTCTTTGATCCATGTCCTGCCAGCCTGTGTCACTTTATTTTCTTCCACTTTCTCCTTCACTCACTGACACCCCGCCACCTTGGACTTGCTTTTTTTCATTTGACTTGCTAAACCCATTCTTGGATCAAGGATATTGGCTCTTCTTCTGCTTTCCACTTCTTTCCTGGATCATCCTACGTCTTCCTCTTTCTCATAATTAGACCTTAAGTCAAATGTCACCTCTTCAAAGAGAAACCGTTAGCCGCCATAGCTAGAGGAACAACAACTGTCACCTCTCACACCTCACATTATTTTATTTTTTCATCTTCTTAGCTTGTACCCGTGTCTGAAATGGTGTTTTCTTTATGTGTTTATTGCCTGCCTCCCCTTGTAGAGTGTCAGCCTCCTGTGGTATACGTTTTATATCCTCAGTTCCCAGATCAGTGCCCAGAACACAGTAAGAAAGCTATAAGTATTTATTGATTGACAGTCCACTCTTTGATATAAAAATGAGTCACGATAGCATGAGAATTGGAAAAGTCCTCGGTGACTCTTAATAGACCTAGAGTCTTCTTAGATGCACCAGGGAGGGATAAGAACTCACATCCTTAGAGGATAGGACTCTCTTCTCTGGAGGATTTGAGAGTAATGATCCTGTGACAACAGAAGAGTGGTTCTTGTCAGGTGTTCAATGTATACGCATGGGCACTTTGAGGAATCCTTGGGTGTATGTCTATCCTTAAAACCACACCTTTGCATCGAAAAAGTGCATTTTCTGTTTCTTCTATTTTGTTTTTAACCAGTATAACACAAAAGAAACTCTTTCAAGATCTTCCTTTGGGGCAGCCTGGGTGGCTAACCCTAAAGCACCACCTTCAGCCCAGGGCATCATCCTGGAGTCCCAGGATCAGGATCGAGTCCCACGTCAGGCTCCCCTGTGTGGAGCCTACTTCTCCCTCTACCTGTGTCTCTGCTTCTCTCTCCGTATCTCTCATGAATAAATAAATAAAATCTTAAAAAAACCCACCAAAATCTTCCTTTGTTTCACATCTCGAAGTCTGGTTGCCTTGAATCTTAATAGAAGACATTGATAACAGCTACTCATTTTACTCTCAAAATGTAATTGATGATCTCAATCGTGCAGAATTGCAGAAAGCTGAGATGAGACTAAATATTGTCCAAATCTTCCAGCAGAGGATCGTAACACTTTAATACAGATTTTCAGCAACAGAAGAAGGCTCATAGCTTAAATCCTTAGAGTTGACATAGTGGCAATGTTATGAGACATACACATACAGGATTTTACACCATACAATAGTGTCACCATTTTTAATAAATTATCTTTTGATTATAATAGTTCTATATGCTTATTGATCGATGTTGAAGATCAGTGCTCTGGCTAAATTTATTTCAGTCTTTTGTAGACAAATATGGTATGTTTTTTTTTCCCTTTTCAATTTACTTACCTTTTCATATAGGAAATATTTATGTCTTATCTAAAGGGCAAGTGGTAATTAAAATACTTTATTTAGGTAAGAAATAAGCACTTAATATGAAATACATTTAACCACATTTTAAAATGCTTTTTTCTAAAAACTATTTTTTCCAAATGATAGGGAAATTTAAAGTAGAATAGATAATTTAAATTTCAATCAAAAGTCCATGCTCTGTGAAATTTAATAATTGGGTTGTAAAATAAAGACATAATTTCAGCTCTATCAAAGTTTGGGACAAACAATAGACTCCATTAGACATTGTACAAATATAAAACAGAATTATTTCCTTGAAGAATTTTATTGCTAATACATTGAATTCTGGGGTGACATTTCTCAAAAAGTAAAATAACATCAATTGTAGCTTCCTTGATATATTTATGAAATAGTTGTAAATTTAGGACACAGAATACATACCCAACATGCACAAAAATCCTTAACTTCAGATCTTAACCTTTCACTTCCAATTTTAATCAGTAATTTAGAATGCTTCTATGTCATGACAGTTATACATTCCTTTATTCTCAATGTCATGAGGAGTTTTATTTTGGGGGACAATTTTCTTCATTCTTGTTTGATCGTACTGAATTGCAGAAAGCTGAGACAAGACTAAATATTATCCAAGTTTCAGGTCAGTGGATTAATAAGTCAAGTTTATGTGGTGATTCAGGGATCATTAAAGACAAAAATGGCAGGTGGGAGATAAAAATGGATTCTATGCAGAGTGTGTGGGGAAGTAGACCCAGGAACCCCTGGTTGCAAGAGAGATCTGAGAATCTAATAATAACGGAGAAGAAGGACTTGAATTTTATATGGGGAAGGACAAAGAGAAGAAAGAGAATAGGAGAAAGATGACAGAAAATAGGAAAGTTGTTGCAGCAATCTGGGGAGAAAGCTGTCTGGTCGAGGGACAGTAAAGAAAAACCCCACCATATGTGGACATCTGCCCGAGACCATTGCTGCTTGGGTCTTATCTCCTTTGCCTGAGACCATTGCTGCTTTTTTTGGGTCTTATCTCCTTCAGCCTCTCATCTAAATGGTTTTATTTTTGCAACCTGTTTTCCTTAAAGATTCTGATCTTTTGGGAGCACCTGGGTGGTGCATAAGTGTCTGACTCTTGCTTTCGGTTTAGGTTATGCTCTCCAGGTGGTGATCTCAAGGTCATGAGATTGAGCCCGGAGTTGGGCTCCTTGCTCAGCACAGATCCTGCTTAAGATTCTCTTCTCCCTTTGCCCCTCCCCTCTGCTCGTGCTCTCTCTCTCTCAAATTAAGTAAATAAATCTTTAAAAAAACATTCTGATCTTTGCTTAAAGATGATATCATGAACATTTCTAACTCCATGACACTCTAATTGTGTTTATCTGTAAGTTTCTTTAAAAAGCATAGAATTTGTATTCAGAAAGCATGCCGTACAGTCCTAAACATAGAGCTTTCCGGATGTGTCATCCTGAGTAAACCCCTTAATAAAATCGAATGGTATACTTTAAGGCCACTTCTAGGTACTGAATATTTTATATAAATTTAAATATAAGGTTATGATTGTAAATACCGTATTTATATAGGAAATGTTGGGTTGATGTGAACAGAAAAAAGTCCTTAATTACCTATCATTTTATGTGTTGCCATTTATCAAACCTTTATTATTTTTATGCATTTTACAAATGCATTTTATAAATTAATTTAAATGATTAAAGAACATAAAAGAAAACATGACATCCATACGGCCAATACTAGTATTTAATAAATGTCAGTATTTTGTCATTTTTGTTTCAGATCCCTATTTTAAAAAACAAAAATGAAATATTCTAGTCCCCCCACCCCGTTGTCTGACATGCTGGACTCTGTGCCCCATAGGGTTTGTGGGGGCAGCTGACAACATACATTTCCTGCAGACAGGCAGGCTCCCAAAGAGAGAGGCAGAAAGGCACTGAGAAGAGAAAGGCACGCTCAGCAGCTTCTCCCAAACTCACCAATAAGATTTGCTGCTTCGGTTTACCAGGAAAGAAAGTGGGCAGAAAGAGGCCAAGAGTGTAACTCTCATTTAGGTTCCTCCAGGTAGTAAAACAAAACCAGAGAAAAATAGATTCTCATTCAACCTGTCCCTGTCCTTTCATGATTTGCCTTTAATCTCCTGAATATTATGTTTTTCAGATTTTTTTTTTTTATGAAATGTAAACCCAGTTCATTTATTTAAATTATTCCTGGGACGCCTGGGTGGCTCAGCGGTTAAGTGTCTGCCTTAGGCCCAGGGCATGATCCTGGAGTCCCAGGATCAAGTCCCACGTTGGGCTCCCTGCATGGAGCCTGCTTCTCCCTCTGCCTGTGTCTCTCCCTCTCTGTCTCTCCATGTCTCTCATGAATAAATAAAATCCTTTAAAAAAAAAAAACTATTCCTAACGCAGCTGATAAACCAACATTGGGAGTAAGGTGGAGAATCTTTGATTTTTAGCATCTACCAGTTTCTATGGTGTACATCCTCCCACCACAGTCGGTTTCAGGCTACAGATGGTTTTAATTGGCTCATAAAATTTCTGAATGTTTGGCTCTCATAAGCCAGTCAAAAGCCAGGTCTAGCATGTCACTATATGTGCATGTCATATAATATGTATTCTAGAGTATGAATAAGCATGTATCTCTATAATATACCTACAAATGGTATTCCCAGATCATAGGCTATATCCAGTTCAGCTTTACCTAAGCATCAATCAGATGTCCAAATTGGTCTTACCAACTTATATCCCACCAATAGTAGATGAAGGCTTCTGCTCCCTAAATGTTACCGATACGCTGAGTGTTAACTAATAGCTAATTGATGCTTAACCAGTCATGTTTAATCTATTTATTTAATCTTTACAAGTGTCCTAAGGGACCTGAACTGTTATGACTCCATCTTAAAGGCTAGAAAACTGATATCCTTGCTGCTATTCCAACCTAGATCTACCAGACTTTGAAGTTTATACTTTTAATACTATGGCATTCTGTAACTTTTCATTATACATTAACAAATGGTATGCTTTATAAATAAGAGGCTCTCAAATATTTACGGATCATGACCAAAGCATTATTTCATAAGTTATTTTGCAGATTACATATTTATTGATGAGTTTTTAAAAATTAGCTCATTGAATGCTCACCTGTTCTTTTTTACTGAAGGCCTCCCATTTTTGAGACCTAGATTTCTATTCAGTTGTTTTCTTGAGTACATAGAAGGATGTCACGGTACCAAATCTAATGTGACACCATCAGTCTATTACATTTAGACATGATATCACAAACTGAGGAGTAGGAGGCCATGATCTGGTTGGGCAGATACAATAAGTGGTTTTCTGTGGAACTTGGTGTAGGGCCCAGAACTGTCAACATTTTCCATTTTGAATGCATGTGCCTGAATAATAAGTTAGAAAGATGCTTATTAAGTATGCATTTGACAGAAAGCTAGGGAAGCAAATAGAAAGAGGAGCCAGTAACTTCATCAGTAGGATTGGAATTTAAAATGAATTTAACTCATATGTGGAATTTAAGGTACAAAACAAACAAGCAAAGGGGAGAAAAAATAGAGAGACAGTCAAACCAAGACATAGACCCTTAATCATAGAGGACACACTGATGGTCACCAGAGGGGAGGTGGGTGGGGGATGGGTGAAACAGGTGATGGGGATTAAGGAGGGCCCCAGATGTTATATGGAAGTGTTGAATCACCATATTATCCTGAACCTAATATAACACTGTATGTTAACTAGCTGGGATATAAACAAAAACTTTTTTAAAAATCAAAAATAAACAAGCACAAAAAAATGAGTTTACCATAATGGACAAGTAGTTAGTAGCAAATAGTAAAATATGATAAACAGATAAATTTAGAAGAAATATTTCCAATACCAGATAGTAAGAAAAGTGTCAATTTGTACAATTAAATCTTCTTTTACTCTTACCTACTTGGAATTCATAAAAATTCTATTGAGAGATTCAAATGTTATTCTCATTATTAATTATTTATTTCTATATCTATATCTATCTTTTTTTATCTATATCTATCTTATATAGAACTTTTCTTTCACAACTTCTTGCCCTTGATTACTTTTTCAAAATATTTACAAAATAAATGAATCAGTAAATGGACAGTGTCTTCTTTTTCAACTTAGGAAGCCTTATTCTATAACACTATGCTTTTCATGGGTTTGGGTTTTTTTTTTTTTGCTATAATTAGACTTTTAGATTATTTTCCATTTTTCCCACTACCGTGAATTTACTGTTATATGAGTTATTGATTATATCTATGATTACTTTTCCTAATATGAGTGAAATACATTATTTGGTAGAATTTTTTTTGTTATTGTGAATTGATTTTTCATTGTTCTTCTGTGAAGATGCTTATTAAAATAATTAGGATCTTTCTGTCAATCACCCTGAAAATGGTTGGTTTATTACAGATGGTCTCCAGCTTTTGATGGTTCAACTTAATGATTTTTCAACTTTAAAATGGTGCAAAAACTATGCATTTGGTAGAAACCATAGTTTGAATTTTGATCTTTCTTTGAATATCGATCTTTTCCCTGGCTAGTGATATGCCACATGACATTTCTGTTCCCAGTCAGGGGCTAAACAACAGATACATTTACAACCATTCTGTACCCATACAACCATTCTTTCACTTTAAATAAAACATTGAAGAAATCACATGAAATATTAAATATTTTATTATAAATGTGTTATAATAAATATGTGTTGGCTGTGTGTTACAGGATTTTGCCAACTGCAGGCTACTGTAAGTGTTCTGAGCACATTAAGGCAGGCTAGGCCAACGTTCTGTAGGTTAGGTGTATTAAATGCATTTTCAACTTACAGTATGTTCAATTTATGATATTTTCAGCATATTAAGATGCAACCCCATCATAGGTCAAGGAAGGTCTGTACTCTCAGGAATATTCATTTAGTTAGGTTTTGTCTTGTGTAGACAGTTATATCAGTATTAGATTTTAATATTAATGTTTTGATTTTAATCATTTCAGATTACTCAAAGACTGCCCTGGCTTTGTGTTTACCCCTCGTTCAAGGGAGGAACTTCCACCAAACTTCCCCAGTGAAATTCCTGGAATCTGTCATTTTCTGGAAGCTTATGAACCAGCAACAAATTCAAAACCATGGTTCCAGAAGAAAGATGTTGAAGATGGCAATGCCAATTTTTTAGGCAAAGCCTCAGGAATAGATTAACAAAATATGTATCTGATTATTAGTCTTTGGGTTTTGACTCCTATGAGCATGTGTGGAATCTCTGAAAGCACTTTAAGATTGAAATGACTAAGAATAGTATTAAAATTTCAGGAACTAAGTCACGATCTACTTTTCTTCCACTTAACATGACAAAAATGTATTCACTTCAAGTCTTCAGAGGAAAAAAGAAGGAAAGAAAAGTCAAATTAGGGGGATATTTCTCTTACTGTAACTATCACTTATTACCTGTACTCGAAATTCAACACATTGTACATATATCAGGTAATTGTAGTGACCTGATCTGTGCAACCTGATGGAGTAACCTGCAGTCTTGTGTCCTGGTGGAATGCCATGGTTGTCAAAGTGTATTTGTGATTGTGTTGCCTTAGAAAAACCTTTCCAAATAGAAATGATAGTCTTTGATACCATAAGCTCTTTGCACCTTTCAGCTCTGCATTTTATTACATTTCTTCATTTAACTGGTGGCATATGTAATGAAATAGGTTGAGTATTTTTTTTCTGTTGCACTTTTCCTTTTTTTTTAAGAAAATGAGCAATTATGGGTTAGATGCAATATGAATATAAAATAGTTCTTCTATAAATATCAAGATTGTTTTATAAAAATATCTGCCATAACATGACGTGTCATATCAATAAATGCTGTCTTTTGTTTGACATTTTTCTATTCTGTACTTTTAAAGGCTATTTTAATTCATATTAGCAATTTAATTCATATTCATTTGTTTCTGTATCATAACATTCGGGATAAAAGAGACTTATAGCCTGTATTAAAATGCAATAACATCATTCTAATTTAATTAGAAGCAACATGAGAGTAAAGTAAGAGTCCAGGGGATATACCGTAAAGCACAGAAATAAGACATTAAAACACACGCAAACACACAGAAATTTGGATCTATTTCAGCAGACACCCTGCATTGCCTTGCCGAGCTGTACAAAGTTCCAATGAGAAAATCTAAGTTCAGAAGTGGGAAATGAGATTTGTTCTTTTCGCTAGTAGCTTATTTTTAAATATTTGTGTTGGACACTTTGGTGTGTATATATGTCCTAAGAATCATCAAGTTTTTTTTTGTCTAATTAAGTACACATCTGTGAATTTTTTTATTCTAGTTGAATTATCTCAATGATCTTTTTTAAAAAGAATGTTAATATCAGTGAAGAAAACGATGCTGTGATTTCATTATGGAAATTCTTAAACATTTTTCTGGAGCTGGAACTTTTATTTTTAATGATATTAGTCTAAGCTCTCTGAAGACCTAAATAACATACAGAGTTTGGTTTGGGATAAGGATCTGATTTTAAAAAGAGTTCAATTTCAAGGCAGGAGAAAGATGAACATTATAATTTTTAAATCAGTATTAGCAGAGCCATAGACACACTAGCCTGGTGATCTCAGGAATGAAAAGTCATTACTGATTGACCTCTAGTATCCGAAATTTACTACAACAGATACAACGACAATTTATTTACTAAATGATATCCCAACATCTTAAAGCACTGACTGATCTTGTTAAATACCAATCCTATTATCGGAAAGTATTATAGGCCATGGGAAAATAGAGTTATAGTCTCACAATTATATGAAGTTAATAAAAGCATTTCAAAGAAAAATAAAGACTTCTATACATATTTCTTTCTAGAACTGAGCCCTTATTACAACAAAAATGATACAAATTAAAGGGAATTGGAAAGCATAAAATGAAATGTGTTTATCAAATTTTTAAACAGACCCCAACTGGGTACGAATTTGTGTTCCAAGTTTGTAAGTTAATTAAATGTTGGCAACTTGAACTCCAATAAAAATATATATATTAAAAATAAATAAATAAAATAAAATTCAAGGAATATTTTCTCTGTATACACACACACACACACCCAATGGAAGAAAATGTGAACAACGTGAGTAAAAGATCTACAGGAATTCCTTGTACTTTTCTTATAAATATTCCATAAGTTTGACAATTTATTTAAATAATAAGTTACCAAAAATGTAATTTCACAAAGAATTTAAATTTTCTGTGATAGATGCCCTGGGCCAGCCTACAAAGGGTCACTAATTATGGAATACTTTATGGATCTTAAGTAAGATGAACATACATTTCCATGATAGGATATATTCAAAATTCACAGCATGGATGCTAAAAACAATTAAGGAGCCCTTTTTTTCTCTTATCCATGATGCAGGGTAGCAGTTATGAAGACATTTTTAAATCCAGACCATTGATAGTAGCCAGGGACTACTTACCCTAAAGGGTAAGATTTCAGGAAAAGTAAGGGATCAAATTAGCAGCTCTGAAGTTAGGAGTAGAATTAAGGATGGTGGGTAGAATGGACAGAGGGTCTATGACAGGTTTGGGGGCTGAGAGTTTTGAATATTGTTGCCAGTTTAACTATTCTAAGAAGTAATGTGGGTCCCAAGAGTGCTTGCTTCCCAATCAGCCTGTGTCTCCGAATTCCAGGAACTGTTCTTTTTGTTCTAGCCTTTTTTTTTTTTAAGATTTTATTTAATTTATTCATGAGAGACACAGAGCACGAGAGAGGCAGAGACACAGGCAGAGGGAGAAGCAGGCCCCATGCAGGGAGCCCAATGCAGGACTCAATCTCGGGACCTCAGGATCACACCCTGGGCTGAAGGCGGCACTAAACTGCTGAACCATCTGGGCTGCCCTTGTTCTAGTCTTACTGTTTCCATCTGTGGCTTCTTGTTCCTTCTATATCTCAAAAGAAAATGATTCATGCTATTCCCTGAGTATGAACACACAGGTGTGAACATAAAGATGGCACGTCTGGTACTGGAATTTCATACTACTCTAAATGTCATTAGTCCTTCAGATCCTTTGGTCAGAAGGAAAGAAAAATTGCTTTAACATTTCACCAACCTCTCTGCCAAATGACTTCTCGCTCATTTGCCAATCATGCCAAGGCAGACCCTTCCAAGCATGTCCTATGGTTATGTTAGAAGCAGTCACAGGATGGAACAGGGTGTTCTGTGGTGGGTCTAGCAAGTGAAAGAAGTGAACAAAGGGGAGAGTCTACTCCACATAGTGTCTGGGAGATAGACATGGCTCCCTGAGATTCCCCGGCTGGAAAATGCCCAACTGGAGCTTTTCATGCAAAGCCCCAATGAAGTCTAGGTCTATATAATGCTCTTAAGCAGCTTGCAAGTCCCTGTTAAAACGACAGTCAATGGTCCCAAAAAGAATGGGTTAATGAATTCTTATAGTAGTTACAAGTGCATGGATATTTTTTCCTGGATAAATCATTATTAAAGAGTGAAAAGGAATCTCTCACACGCACTCATCGGGATGGCTGGAGAGATCATTAACCTTTACTGAACAATAAAACTTAAAGTACATTTTGCCTGATTGTGCACGTCAGTGCACTCTTTAGATGGTGGTCCCTGGAAAGTTAAATGAAGGCAGATTTGAAGGGTGGAAGGATTGGGAATATGATGGGTGAGAGAGATGGGAGGGCAGATCCTGGAAAGAGCTAGGCCGGGGTGTTAACAATTCCTGTGTTGAAGGACTTGCCATCCTCTACAAAGCAAGAACTCAGTGCTGCAGAGACCATAGAGAAGTGCAACCTCCTCGTTTAAATGCAAGCTAAAAGCAAGGACTGCCTGCTGTACTGAGCCGAGAACACCAAAATGTACTTTAATCAAAGTTTACAGTTTTAAAATGTACATTTGTGGTTAGGATTCTTCTCAAAGCCTGGGACATCTTTGTGTTCTCTCGCGAGCAGAGGAAGAATCACTCCTGTCCTGAAAAGCCTAAGCTTGTGGAAGTAATTAGTCCTTCATAGTTTTCGTTGCACTCAGTTTCCTTCTGCTGTTAGCACGTTTGCTTCCAGATTCTAGACAAAGTGCAACTTCCTTTTAAGTGCTTCTTTTAGTAGGTTGATGATGTGCACTCATTTGGTGTTCTTACTTTCAGTCACTTCAAACGTTTTACATTTTGTTGCCATCTATATATTTCTTGTTGAAGCAGCTTTGCTCTTAACCTTTTGTACCTGCATCTGTTTTAACCGGCTCACAAAATCGACATACTTTTTCATCCAAAGCCATTATTCCTCTACCTATGCCCATTTCTTCTACTCAAATGGTATCTGCAAAAATAAATAGATAAATAAATAAAACAATTTTTTCAAAAAAATAGCAGAGGCTTCATAAATGCATAGATCCCCATTTTAAAAAATAGAAATAAACTAAACAAAAAGAAAAAAAAGTGATATTCTGAAAGCCAGGCTTCTTTTATCAATATCAGTACACACTCCTCTCCATCATAATGAACTTTATTTCAGGAAAATGTTAATGTTTTAGATTTAAACACTGGGACAGAAATCAGGACAAAATTTAAATGGCAGATTTGGATATCTCAGATATTCTGGTAAAAGATTTTGGATAAGGTTGTGCTTCCTTTCAATTTTTTTAGTATTTAATGTCAAAATATTACATTGCAAATAAACCTTACAGATTGTGATGAAATGTGCTTGGCAGAAAAAAGTGACTATGCATAACGTCCAAACCTTAAGTAAGGTATCTGCTAAGATGGTTGTTTAGTCTGAAATGTTGCCAAAGCCATTTGTATTGAGGAAAGAACTCTGAGGTAGGCTCAGAGAAAATTAAAACAAAGCGAAACAAAAAAAATGTTGCTACAGAAGTTGGACAATCCAAGGTATTACACAGCGGGAATAAGAGGGTAAAATTGAAGCCTTCTGGAAAGCTATAGTGACAGTGGTCATGGAATTCTATGCCCTCAGGAGTACTGTTGCCCAGTGGAGCAGGGATATGCAGCACCTCGGCAGTGTTCAGTCACAGTAGGCTGCGTTCTTCCCCAAATAAATTGTCTTGGAAAGTTGAAGTGAATAAAAATATATTAGTATTTGAGAATGTGCTGTTCTTTCACCTCCTCCCACATGTTAATTAAAGATGCCTTGCAAAATCTTATGACAACTTGATATTCACTCATCTAAAGCAATGTTCGTCAATCTTTGGATTCCTGCACACTACTAGTAAAATATTTTAGTACGCTGACAATATATTATAAACACATAAGCATAAATGTAATATTACTAAGATTTATGATTTAAAAATATAATATGCTGTCCCCAATCTGATATACTATGATATAGTGGTAAAGCTTATTTTATTTTTTAAATGAGCATGAATACAATTTAAAATTCTAGGGTTTTTTTTTTTTTTGTTATTTGTTTTGTTTTTGTTTTTGTTTTTTTATTTAGCCCCAGTGGAAACTGCTGCAATAGCCTAGTGGGTCTTCATTTTCACCGAGTTACATACCACTATGAAAACTGGATAAAAGAGGAGAGACACAGACCATCACCCTTCCTAAAATGTGCATATGACCTGTACCCTAAGACTTATCTGTATCTCCAGAGGTTTGGAGGTTCCCAGCATTCTACTCCTAGAACACCCCAGGAAGGTAACATAACCCTCAGACTTAAGAGCTTTTTATCAAGAGAGGAAAAAATGTAAATAATATTTGAAATAAATGTATAACTAGGAGAAATTGGTGACTTTTGCTTTAGGTGAAACCACTTTTGATTTTTGAGGGATAAAGAGAATTAGTTTATTTGGTTCTATTCTGTGGAATGATTCATGGAGCTTCACATATAGGCAACTAAAATTTTCTTTTCAG